TCTCTTTCCCCAGAACAGATATTGCTCAGCATCAGTGGGCAACTACACTCATACTCCCCATCTAAACCTCAAGACACAGTACAGCTTCCATACATGCCGAAAAGCTGTAAACCAAGAAAATGCATAATTGATGCTAGCTCTAAAAGGGTTAACAGTTTTGAAACTTAATAGACGTAACTTAGTTAAGATTCAAATGCTGAGTTTAGATACTAACTAGGAGAAACTGATACAGATTGGATCACCTCTTCATATACACTGTCAGGAAATACTAAGTAGTTTATATACAGTAGGAATGAAAAATGAAAAGCTTACTTCTGTGTCTGAATTATTTATTCAGTATCTTCATATACGTTACAGAATCTGACTACCTTTGTGCCCATGACTGTGTAGAGGTTTTTTATGTATGTTAACAGCTCTTCAATAAATCTTAATTTTATTATTTTTTACAGCACTGTAAAACAGAACAGAGAAGGTTTTAATGGACAGTATGTTCACAAGCATTACCAATGCATGTTTTTCTATCTTCTGTCAGCTTGTAAGGATCGGTACTGAGACATTTGTAGCTGCCTTTAGTGTTAATGCATTTAGCAGAAGAGGAGCATGGTGGATTAATTTCATTTTCACATTCATTGATGTCTGCAAAATGAATACACACTAATCAATAATGATTGCAAATTACAGAGAGGGATTACCACTTTGTCATATACACTTTCTACAAGTATTCACAAATGAAAGGTATTGTACACTTTCAATGACATGTTGATCCTTATCATTACTGCTTAAAGCAAAAAGTCCAGGATATTTTGTTTTATTTTGTTTTTCTCTTTGTTTGTTTGTTTGTAAGCTGGAAATCATGAAAAAAGAAAATGTTGTTTTGGTAATCCACGAAAAGGTACAAATGGCAATTGGCTGAATTTTCAAAAAAGTGAACTGTAAAATTGAGGGCTCTTCTTGCATATGTTTATGTCCTAAGACTTTGAGTTCCTCTATAAACTCTTCACATACTGTGCTCTACAGAGACGTTGAAAAGAATAACACTGACAGTTCTATACACTTCTATGCATGATTTTGAAGAGCCATAGCTTTGGTTACAAAATTTATAGCAGTAATCTGTGATATCACTGCAAAGATAGTTGTTTCTAGATGTTATATAAATTCTGTGAAATGCCAACATTCTGACAGAATGATGAGCAGATGAACAATTATCCAGTCTAAAATGTACACAAACGTATTGTTCTTGAGGCCACTCAAGACCTTTCACTCTCACATTCTGATTGTGATGAAAGGGGAGACAGTGTGGAGTGAAGGAACGAAAGTACTCAATGAGGGAAAGAATGGAGTCTTTTCAATATATCTGCATCTTTTTTTCTTTCTGTGTAGTATTTACTTTCAGGATTGGATTCAGCTGCCCAAAGATAGATGCCCAGCACTGTTTTAGATATCTTCCCATTGGTCCTGTACAATACTTGCCAGCTTCTTTAATGTCTCTGACCCATGGCCCTGGGAATCTCATATGTGGGTAACTAACTGAGCTTTCAGTCTCTTATGGTTTTGGTTATATTCTGTTCTTTTTTGTTTGATCTGCTACTTCAGGCTAAGTAGCTCTTTTTGATCAGTATTAAAAACTGACCCTGTAGGAATGATTCACTGACTTAAGTGTAGCATTGTTACTCAGCCCACTTAGGGAATTTTATCATTGGAAATAGGATCAAGCTTGATCCTGTCTCAAATTTTAATACAAAGCTGTAGCTGTGTCCAAAGCTAACCATCAACTGAGACAGTCAAAAGACTAATCATGAAAGAAATAATTTTCATCTTTAGTATCCTTAAGAAAGACTAACTCTCAGAACACCCCTGAATGTAACATCTCTGAAGCAGGAAAATAATCTGTTTTTCAGGATGAATATTCCTGAAATACTCCCTTCAAGACTACCTCCTGGGTTAATTCTCACTGGCTTCATCATTGTCTGAAAAGGAAAACCTGCATGGGCTTTGCCTCTACCGTAATTCAAATGAGCTATTTCAGCTTTTGTAGGTCCATAGTCAAGCTATCTGTTAACCAGCTAACTCTCTTTTCATCACTAAATAGTGTGTTTCTTGGCCAAGAAGACCAACAGCATCCTGGCTTGTATCAGAAATAGTGTGGCCACAGAGAGTCTAGGGAAGTGTCACCCTGTGCTGGGCACTGGTGAGGCTGCACCTCAAATTCTGTGTTCAGTTTTGGGCCTCTCACTACAAGAAAAAAGACTTTGAGGTGCTGGGGCATGTCTAGAGAAGGGCACCAAAACTGGTGAAGGGTCTAAAGAACAAGAGGAGGCTGAGGGAGCTGGGGGTGTTTAGCCTGGAGAAGAGGAGGCTGAGGGGAGACCTTATTGCTCACTACAACCACAGGAGTTTGCAGAGAGATGGGTGTTTGTTTTGTGCGCCAAGAGACAAGGGATGGGACAAGAGGAAATGGCCCCAATTTGTGCCAGGGGAGGTTTGGATATTAGGAGAAATTTCTTCACTGAAAGGGGTGTCAAGCATTGGAACAGGCTGCCCAGGGAAGTGGTTGGGTCACCATCCCTGGAGGGATTTAAAAGACGTGTAGATGTGGTGCTTAGGGACATGCTTTAGTGGTGGACTTGGCAGTGCTAGGTTAACGGTTGGACTTAATGATCTTAAAGGTCTTTTACAACCTAGGCAATTCTATAATTCTATGATCTTACCAGTCTACCCTACTACTCAGAGAGCAATACTTTATTAAAGTAAACAGAGTTATCTGTCAAGAGTAAGATAACAATATAAAGGAATGTAGCATAGTCTCGCACTAAACGACTTCCTGAATCAATAGAAATTATTTCTGTCAAAGCCAAACTTAGTAAGCAGGAATTAACAGCTCTCAGATTCCTATGCTTTTGCCAGCAAGCCACTCTGTCTTTTCCAGAGCAGCATATAATTTTGAAACCATCTGCAGAAATGCTAAGCTCTATCCTCCTCATTGTATTGCTTGACTTATTCCTAATTTGCTGAACATTTAAAAGAATGGGAACACATTGCACAGACATGCATGGAACAAAGTGCTTTCTACTGTAAAACTCAAGTAGCATCTGCATAAGTGGGTTTTGATGGTTTTCTTTTAATAAAGGCATTGCTTATTTAATATATGCAGCAGCTTGTTTTCCTATAGCAGATATACAGTCTTCTGTTTACATTACTGAACATATTAAAAGAAACTAGGACAAGGAATGATTCATTCATGTATCTTATTTATTCAGTTTGCTGCCAGAACATTAATCTGTTGAAAAGATTTTATTATAATTCATTTAACAGCTTTATTTCTTTATATGGTATTTATGTGGGTGGGATTTGGTGGATAAATAGGATTTGAATAAAGGAAAGAGCTGCGAATTTCATTTGACTTTTTCCATACCAGGTATACAATTAGAATGAATAGCTTTCTATTCTGCTGTCACAGAAATACTGATAAGCAGACCTTATTGCATATCAGCTGCAGCACTAGCATTCAAATTAATTTATCACCATCCATAATAAATTCCTAAATATGGCCTTTTCAGGTTTCATTTTCTCTCATGTTCTTATAAAGCTGAGCAGTTTGAGTATGTGTGTGCATATATATATACACACATGCCATTGTAAACACACACATTTGAAATGTGAACAGAGAGATTCATCCTTCATAGCTGTGAATAGTGAAGGTCATGTAATGAAGTATTTGCCACATTCTCTTTCTTCCTATCCTATTATATTCAACAGAAAAAACAAAGCAAAAGGAAAGGGAAGATAAAAATAATTAAAATAACAGAAAATTATTCCCGTGAAAATGTGTGTAAAATGTCAAAAGGCAGTATATTTTTGTTGATTTTTCACCTGCTCTACTTTTGAACCTGTAGAAGTAACTGACTTCTGGCAAATCTTTCCACAGCTATTTGGGAAAGGGAGGTTGGAACTGAAGTGATAATGAATTTGCTTGATTTCACTTGTTCACTTCCCAGCATTTGTTTCTTCGTCATTTTGCTTTTATCTTATTAGGATGGTATATGAACTACTGGTGCTGAGCTCATTTTGTGTCTAGAGCATCCATTGAAACAATGTCAGGAAAATGACAACTGTCTGTCTAGCTGTTACACTGAATGTGGGAGGAAGCAATGTAAAATTTTGATTTGCTGCCTCTTCCTAGTGGTTGTTAATACACTCAATTGTTGCTAATTAGGTAATTTTTAGTGACATTTTCCTATCATTGACTTGATTGCTGAATCAGGATGGGTAGAGATTGAGATAGCAATTCTGAAGCAAAGAGAGTTTCACATGATCATGTTATTGTACCTATAAACCCACAAGTCTGACTACAAGAAAGCACAGGAGGGAGTTCACTTCTGATGAGCTATGATAGAATTTAGCTTTTGAAAATTCAGAAACAACAAAAAAATACATACCTATACAAACAGGAGCCTCAAAGTTCCATCCTTTACTTGTGCAGGTTAATTGCTCTTCTCCTTGTAATTGAAATCCATATTTACATAAATAAGTCACTGTAGATTTTCCAAATTCTGAGCAGTATACAAAATCACCATTTTCTACAGTCTTTGGTGTTCCACATATTTCCTCTAAAAATAAAAAGGCTGTATTACAAGCTTTTAAAAAATTACTACCATACCCTCACAAATGGATGTGATCCTCCATTACTGTCATAAATTAACTTCAGTGAAATTATTCATATGTTTTAAGGTGATTAAGAATTTAAGTGTTCATTTCTGGACAAGAATGTATACAGAATACCTCAGGTTTGACTTACAAAATTAGTGTTATCTTCTAATAGTATGTTCTACAGGGTTCCTTGTCAATATTTTCTATGTCTAAGAACTCTTGCCCCAGTTACCATTAAGTCGGGATATCTCACAAACTATTCATGTTACCAGAGTAAATTTGAAAAATATTATCTTTTTTACAGAGGGAGTTGAGAAGTAAGGAAAGACCTAGATCCCACTTCTAAGTGGTAGAAATAATAAGGATCTGCATTAGACCAGTAACTCAAGCCCTGCTGCAACCAAGGTCAGTGCTCTAACTACTTATTACTCTCCCTTCTTTTCAGAAAAGATTGGTAATTACCAGATTACCTTCCTGATACACTTCTTTCCAAACTCCTAAATCCATCCCAGGTATATTGTCACAATGCTTAAAATCCTGTGGAAACTTTCCAAGTTGAAAGGCATCTGTTGGTACTTCAGAAATTCCTGTATTGTCACAAATCACGCGGGACAATGAGTGTTTTTTGAGTTCATGCTTTTGATCTTCTGTGAAAATATTATCATTTTCCCACCAAAATCTGGAAAGATTGAGAGGAACATTTTCAAAAATGGAAAAGATCAAATTCAGAGAGCTGATTGTTCTTGCTTTCACAGTACTCTGTGTAAAAGGCCAAAAATAAAAATTATGTCAAAATGTAGGTGGATACAACAATAATAAATGTAAACACCATGATCTGCAAACTTAAACACTCATCTTTAAGGTCACAAAAATGCTAGTGTGAGTCTGATGTACTGGTCAACTCAGATGATCTGTTAAAGTCAGCTGGTGAAAACTCTTCATTATACACATTTGCAGAAATGCTTTTCAGGGCCACAGAAAAAGTTACAGTCCTGAGAGAAAAACTTGGAATCAATTTTTTGGACCTGGATGCTTAATCTTAGGCACATCAGCATTCACTCTGTGCTTATAAATTGTTTTAAGCACATAAATTATAGGAGAACTAGAGTAGCCATAACAGACTTCCCCATACCATACCTTTGGAATTGTGCTTGACATTACTGAATGGTTGCTATGAAAAAAGGTATTGCTGAATGCCCCTCTGTGTAATATGGTGTTCTTCATTAGCTAAGAAAACTGTAGATATGCAGATTAATTATAGTAGAAAATAGTAGGACAGTAACTGTGCTTTTGATCATACAAAAAGGTAAGCTAAGAGCACTGGCTGGAACAGAGAGGAGCTGCTTTTTCCATTTTGTCAGATTGGGGATGCAGTGCCAGAACACAAGGACCAGCTGGTGCTACAAAGGTGTAGCTGTTAAATGGTATGTATTATGTGAAATACATATGTGTGCATACACACATAATTATGTGTTTAAAGATAAAAGGAAAAGAGAAAGAAAACACAGGAAAAAAGGAAAAGATAAACATTTTCCACATGATGTTTCATGAATGGCAAAAACTATTTCTTGAGAGTTTGATAGCACATCTGCACTAGTACATTAAACAGTGTTAAGCACTGCTAAACTGCTAAGATAGTTCCTTGTGGTACATAAGCCAATTAGGATTTTCCCAAATGCTAGGAACTATTTGTGGTAACGTGTCCTAGAACTATGCTTAGCAGTAGAGTATGGATGCGATCACTCTGTACAACTTACCCCCAGGTTTAACACAGGGCAATAATAGTGGGGCAACGAGGCTGGGGGTTCTAGAAAAGCCTGTGGATTTTACATTTACATTTTTCTGATGGGAAGGGATCAGCAGTGTTGACTGCGGACCCTGCACAAACCTGGCATGTGTGCAGCATGTTAGGACTTTCATGAACCCCCTGAAATGGCACCATGGAAAAGAAAAAGCTGACAGTCCTGTTTGTGTTCTGGGGACCATGAAGGTTGCTAGTGTGCCTTGGGGGGGACTTTTCTGGGCAAATTGGACCCTGCTGCCAACAGGAGTGTACTGGTTAAGTAAGGTAAGTGCATGCAAAATTCTGGACAGCTGGTTTTATAGGCAAATAGTTGCCTCCAGCAGGACAATTTGGGGAGAAACCTGACCCACTTTCCCTATATTGGAGGAGGACGCCATCTGGAGGACCAGGGGTGTAGTGACTGTCGCACAGCTCAGCAGCAGTGCAGGAGGTGGAGCGGCTGGAGAGAGGAAGAAGAAAGATGCTTTCCTCCTGCCCTTCACCTGCACACTCTCCCCAGACTTCCCAGAGCATCCTGAAACCTCACTGACCTTTCCCAGGCCCCTTCCCATAACCAAAGCCATCAGAGACTGCTCCACTCAGATCTCCTACATCTGTCATTTCCCCTTTCATGTACATAAACCTATTCTACTTTTATCACAAAATTCAGTTTTATCTACACTGTTGAGAAGGCTTGAGCAGAAAATTATTTTTAATCTACCCAGCAGGTAAGTGTTTACCCTAACAAAGGTTGCTCCAACAGATCTGTATCAGGTCATCAAAATTTTACAGGTGAATTTTACAGAGTAAAAAAAAAAGAAAGAAATGAAAGAAAAAAAGAAAGAAATGAAAGAAAAAAAGAAATAAGAGGTGTAATCTCCCCTATGCAAAGTCAGCTTCAAAATTTTTGCCCAATTATTGCAAATCCGGAGATCACAAAAGATTCAGAGTAGAAAGAGATGGAAAAAGAAAATCAATGCTGATGAAACAGAAACAATTTGTACCAGGTGATTTGGCTGAGACAGTACTGAGTTTAGTTCACTGGAAAAGAAATACATTCATGTTTTTGTCAGATTACTGACAAAAGATTTTAAGGCTATCAGGATGGAGTTTAATCAGTCAAAAATATCACTTAGTCCTGATTTCTGAACTTAAATCAGTACATTAGAAAACCAGTTGGAGTGAGTCCAGAGGAGGCCACGAAGATGCTCAGAGGGCTGGAGCACCTCTGCTATGGGGACAGGCTGAGAGAGTTGGGCTTGTTCAGCCTGGAGAAGAGAAGGCTCCGGGGAGACCTTATTGCAGCCTTTCAGTACCTGAAGGGGCTACAAGGAAGCTGGGGGGGACTTTTTACAAGGGGCTGTAGTGACAGGACAAGGGGTAACGGGTTTAAATTGAAAGTGGGGAGGTGTAGATTAGATAGCAGGAACAAATTCTTCATGGAGAGCGTGGTGAGGCACTGGAACAGGTTGCCCAGAGAAGCTGTGGATGCTCCATCCCTGGGAGTGTTCAAGGCTAGGCTGGATGAGGCTTTGAGCAACCTGGTCTAGTGGAAGGTGTCCCTGCCCATGGCAGGGGGGTTGGAACTGGATGATCTTTGTGGTCCCTTCCACCCCAAACCAGTCTGTGATTCTATGATTCTATGTTCTGAAGACAAGGACATTTTCAATTTTGTCACACTGCCCCTGTTCTCCCAGCTTCTTCTCTACAAGAAGCTGGGACAAGACAGCCAGGACAGCTGACCCAAACTGACCAAAGGGATATTTCATGCCATAAGGTGCCATGCACATTATATAAGTTGAGGGGAGTTGGCCAGAGGGGAGTGTTGCTCGGGGACAGGCTATTGATCACCAGGTGGTGAGCAATTGTAGCGTTGTACACCATTTGTTTTTGTATATTCCTTTATCAGTGATATTATTATTTCCTCTCCCTTTGCTGTCCTATTCAACTGTTTTTATCTTGACCCACGATTTTTTTTTTTATGCTTCTCTCCCCCATCACACCCTGGGGGATGGGATGGGGCAAGTGAGTGGCTGCATGGTGCTTAATTGCTGCCTGGGCCTAAACCATAACGTACTTCTAATTTCTCTTCACCTTATCACAGTATTAATGGCAATACAATTTCACATTTAAGTTAGATGACATGAATTTTGAGGCAGAAACTTGGGGAATTCTTTTATTATTAGAACCCTCTTTTTCTCAATTTGATGTTAATGTTAGATTCTTCTTAAGTTTAATTAATGCTAGTAGTATCATAAGACACTGAATAAGTATAATAATGCTCATAATGGAAACAAGCTGGAGGGCCCCCAATAGATTACCCTTCCCCTAATAGGATGAACTGTGCTTGCACGATTCGGAAGATTTTCAGCCATGTTTTTAACGTATCTGAGTAGAATATTTGTTGTGTATACAGTTTGTGCTAATAAGATACCACCTTTATGATTAACATTGCCTTTTCCTGTGAGCTAATTAATTAACATTTTTTAAAGTTCAGATTTAAATTCTGCCTTGGATGCTTATTTACATAATGGTTTCTTTCCACAACAGTGACTTATGATAGGAGCTTAGAGGTGAGCATAAGGACCAGATGTACTTAAAACACCACTGCTAGCATGGTGTGAGCAGTTTAAAATTAGTCTGCTCATGAGATTCAAAATCACCGCCACGAGTACATGATGGAAATGAAAAAAAGGTTAGTTTTATAATTGCTTCAGGAGCAGAAGCAAGATATAAACTGTGTCTTGCACCCCTTTGTGACCTGATGCTGCATTTCTCCTGCCTTCATGGTGTGGAGGGTTGAACTGGCACAGGAACTGGTGTTGGTTGTGCAGGTGTTGGGTGAAGGGACATACTATGCTATGTTTGATGAGGCAATACTGAGAGCACTTTGCAGTCCAGTTCACATAAGACTAGGTACATGGTGTTTTTATTATCCCCTCTAGGAAGCCTGAATTACATATTTCTGCTTATCCCTTCTGACTTTGCTGTGGTTGCCATGGAAAATGTTGAGGTTCTTCCAGTTAAGGACCCCGAGCCCAGTGCAGCCCTCAGGGACCAGATAACTAAAGCCTGCACATCCATCCACACAGAAGTTAGCTGCCCCTGGCAGGATTCACTGCTGGTGGCACCTTACATTTTCACCAGGATTGCAAAGTTGGGCATCTCAATACCACAGAAACCATTTCCATGTCATATGGAATTGAAATTATATACAGACCAAAGAAGAAATAGCTCACCCAACAAAACTGAAGGAGCAATGTCGAAAACATGAAAGTGGCAGGGAATAATTTGTTTAAAGCCTGTTTCAATATCATGTTGTCATATGTTCTGGAAAGTATCCTCACATATCTGTAAAATCTCCATGGCTTCTGCACATTACACAAATGATTCAACAGCATGAATAAACTCACCGGTCACCATCCCTTAATGCTTTCATTTGCTTTCCAATTATACACGCAAACAAGGGACCCGTTCTAGCACCTGGAAGAAAGTCTTCTACCAGGCCACCAAGCCAAACATCAATATTGCTAGGATTATGGTATAATTCCATGATTTTTTTGGTGACATTGTTATTGGCTATTACTGTATGTAGGTCATCTTGAGTTTCCAGCTTCGGTAAGCCACAGAATTCTCGCCAGTCATTATAACCTGTAAATATTATGTTAAAAGGAAGATTAGACTCGGCTGTTTTGTGATATATAAAATTAATTCATTTATAAGCACTGGATTTTGATAACCTTATTCATGGCCACTGACAGTTATGTCTAAAAAGAGGCCTATTATTATTGGTCAAATTGGTTGGGGAAATGATGGCAGGATCTGAAACTACAGGATATGCAATTGCTACATCATTTTCATGAAGGAAAACAAAGGTTTAAAACAATTCTCCCATATTTAAGCAATGGAAACATGATAATAGATAGCAGGAGCATGCACTGTGTCTTGACATTTTCAGACTAGCAATACAGGAGTTAGGTGAAGAGTAGTCAAGAAGTAACCTCAATGAAGTTAGTAACTAAAGCACTTTACTAACTAGTTGCTCCAGATAGAAACTCCATTCTTTTAGAGCTGGTTCCAGCAAGAACAAACCTCAGGTATCTATATCAAGCATACCTGGATCCACTCACTAGTACTGTCCTTCTAGATTCTAGACTTAACATGTCATTTTAAGTTCGAATGCTGGGGAATATTTTTTTTCCATCAAAATAAAAAAAAA